ACCAGGCTGGGGATCGAACAACCGACCTTCCGCTCTCCGGGCAGACGCTCTACCAACAACACCACGGCAGTCAAGGCGTCTCAACAAGTGATACAGGCCGAAACATCGTACCAAAAACTTATACAGGCCAAGGATCAGTATCAGAGCTAACTGGGATTTGAACCGCAATTAATCTGATTCTGATACGGATAAGGGATGCAATTCTGATAAGCTCTGGTTAGAAAAACCAGTTCGTAAAGTTCCGAAGTTCTTTATCACATAAACAATACATTCTGTAATAACTATATGCTTAACATTCGGCTCGTCATTTTCACTCGTTCGGTATACTTCGTTCCACCAGGCTTAAACTATCAATCTAATATAAGTACGGTAAACTACGGTTATAATGAACACGCTTATAACAAACTAACGGATGTCACGAACTTACTTTTTTGGTCCCGACTATTTGCTGTAGTTATGCTGAATGTATGCTTATAACGAACTACGGTTATAACGAACTACAATTAGTAGTCCCTTTGAGTTCGTTATAACCGTACTTTACTGTTTATACGCCATGCAGACCCTGTACTTGTGATTACGGGGGTAACGGCACATTTTGACCTGATATGACACTGATAGTTTCGGTTGCGACATGACACACAACATTTCGAAATGCATACTATCAAACACAGGAAACGAACACTCTACCTGACCATTGACCCTTATGAATATGCTTGAGCGGCATAGTTCATTATCTTACAGGGGTGAAGGGTACGGATCATATACAAGTAAGTCTTACCGAGACCATTATCCAAGTGAACCGTATCATTAGACATGTAAGCGTGACTGAGGCATGCATGGACAAGTGCATAGCGAAGCTGACACGTGGCCATATTTAGCTCGTGCTCTGCGTGTACATTCTAACCACCCCTCATTCCTCATTGGACTCTACCATAGCAGGTGTTACGCCCACGAGGTAGAAGCTCCGCACCAGCGCATGTTAAACATGTCTTTGTTTGTCGAGCTGCAAGTCAAACGAAATAGCACTGGGTTGAGAAATCATTTACATAACGTCGATAAATAGTGAATCATAGTTACAATATTTTACAACATATCACATGTTGTCCTTGTTATATACCTATGGATGCATGAATTCACAGTGGGGCTAATTTATCATCCAAAACTGGCTCCCACAGGAGATACAGCTTGTGTGAGATCAAGTGATATCTACACTGTAGATATCTCTGCAATGAAATTACATCACAATGCTTTGTAGATCAGTGTCACAATCAAATGACATCACTAATAGCTCTGCTACTGAAGCTGTTGGCAGTACTTTTTACACTGAAGACACTGCTAATTACTGTCTTCAAATTGAAAAATTTGTAAGAATGATGTTGGACGATAAATAAAATCTCACCCGAATGTCTTTTGATATCAAATATATCAACACTCGTTGATAAAAGACACTCGGGTGGGATTCTCTCTATCTTGGCACAAAGGATCCCATGCACAGCTACAGCGAATCGTTACACTCCTCCAACTGACATTTGCTCTCATGAGAAATCGGTATAATTCTGACATCAGACAGGGCGGGGCCTGCTAGTCTGTCTCACACTCCACGAATAACAATATTTCCCTTTTCGCCGTGCCCCTTCTGTAAACGTGGTGCGGCTTCCCTGAATGAAGCAAGTCTAGATTTCCACAGGTTCAGGTAATCTCCCATTTCTCTGTGGCTCCTTTTAAATATAAATGTAGCTGCTTGTTTCTATCAAACTTGTATATTTTCGGAGACATTGTTAGTCTCGGAGGCGACGGGAACAATCCATCATCAAGCGGTTGTCGACGATGTTTTCCAGGATGAAATTAACACTTTGTTTACAAAACGGCGTGACAACTCGTGCTTAAAAAAATGTGAGACGTTTCGCCAGAATAAAACGAAAGCAACCCGGATATTATCGCAGTACATGATAAATATAACGTTTACAAGGTTTTTAATTCAAAATTACTCTGTTAATTAATGACGTGCCAGGAATATCGAATTGAACTTTGAAAAAACCGCACCTAAAACAGACAATTAAAGGGTTAAATGTAAAATATAGGCATTTTGGTGTTGGTCTCTTTCTCAATGATACGCGAACCATCATTCCTTCGGGAGAATGACATGCGTGGAAAGCACCGTTTCAATTGTGAAGCGTTTGTAAAATCTTCTCCACTATGCGTGAAGGGAACAAGCACGGTGTGTCGGGTTTCTATTCTTGGTATATGCACTGGTAGTCATGACGTTTTATACCAAAATCGTCATTATCTACGAAATGAGTGAGTGAGTTTGGTTTAAGGCCGCTTTAAGCACTATTCCAGCAATATTCCAGCGGACACAGGAAAAATGGGCTTCACGCATTGTACCCATGTCATGAATCGAACCCGGGTCTTCGGCGTTACGAGCAAACGCTTTAACCACTAGGCTACCCGACCGCCCCTCTACGAAATGAAATACTCCCCTCGCAAGCTTTCGTCAATCAACAAACAACACTTTTGGTGGTATTTGTTCGTTTGTTGTTTAACGCCGCAATATCCTAGCTGTGTGACGGGAGACAGTAAATAACTGAGTCTGGACCAGACAATTCAGTGATTTATATTGTGACCAATGCTCACGGGAATACGATGCCATGCAATCAACCAAGTCATCGAGTCTGACAACCCGATTCATTTTGTCGCCCCTGACAAGCACGGGTTGCAGGCCATGGGACTGTCAACAGTACAATATCTCAGTGCATCATTCATACATGCTTGCCATTAAAAGGCGGCAAGAGGCGACTAACGGGATAGGGTGGTCAGGCTCGCTAACTTGGTTGATGCATGTCATCGTATCCCAATTGTGTGGATCGATGCTCATGATGTCTGGTCCAGACTCGATTTTTTAGAGACCGCTGTCATATAGCTGGAATATTGCAGAGTGCGGCTTTAAACAACAAGCAAACAAACAAAGCATCAGATCAATCACTGTCTTGTCTGGTCCATATACTGACTGACCGCCATCATATAGCTGGAATATTGCTTAGTGCGCCGTCAAACAACAAACAAACCAACATGTTCTGTCATACTTTCAGGGTTTCAAATACAACTAAAACTGAACAACTAACAAAATATCGGGAATGTTATGAACATGTAGACCAAATATGACATGTTAGGAGCAATTGTTTGAAAAAAAGAAATGCTGTACATTCTATTCAGTTACTCATAAATCACATTGGCGTTTGTGAAAACAATTACTAACAGATCACGGCAGCCTCGGAATGATGCCGAGGCTAGTACGGAGTTGCCTCCCTTTACCAAGAGCTAGCTTGTTGCGACTGCCAGTGAATCCCATCTCAGCATGACTCAAAACACATCTGTGACGTCATTCTATTGTTGAAACGCTCCATTATTTTTTTAGGAATGGGCAGTTGTTTGTTCAATTTTACACTATCTTGAACCAACATTTCAAGTAATTTACACTTTGAGTAGACTGAGCTATTTTCTTTATATTTGACAAGTGAATGATCTCAAATTTTGTCGGAAAACATATGTCGCCAATGGGGGTCCAACCCGCATCGTTTGATTAGAGGAGGTCTAATTTTTTACCTCAGAAATGACGACACATGGTGGTAAGGTGTGAAACTATCAAATATTGTTTTTCAAATATTTGCATAAGGTAAAGAAAAATATGTATATAGTGTTGGGTTACAGCAGGTTACCTTTTACAATGTTCATATGTAATGCAATTTAGAATCACCTTTGACGAGAAAAACAAATGAGGCAACCAACCATACATATCCTTGTTAAGGGCTCTATACGTCCTATAATCCCCGTCAGCATGTATTGACAATGTGCAAGCGATTGATAAAATACTAGTTCAGGACCCGACGAAATTATGATGAGCCGTGTACCATGCATTGTAAATATCAGCTCGAGACGTTGCGTGGTGCACGTGCAACAGCGGCTGAGAACGTATTCCTCGTGCATCACGCAAGGGCGACTCACGGAGTATAAATACAGTCTGCGTGTTGGTGGGTTTAACAGAGGATCTGTTACTCCGTTGTGTGAATACTTCACCCGCGGCTGCAGGAGTATCCGTTGTTCTCTTTAAAGCGGACTTAAAACAATATCATATACTCGGTTGGTTGCATTCGTCAACACTCGTCCCTTTCCGTAACCTGCCAGAAGACTCGCCCCCTATCGATGAATGTTATGTGCGAAAATACGACAAACCAATCAGAATGCGCGTATGATTTCAAGTTCTTCGTCAAATAATCCCTCAGAAGTATTTTTTTTATTTTACATATATCTTACATCTAAAAATATACCAAACGCAAAAATGGTCATGAGCGGGGCACGAGTCGCTATTCGGCTTGTCCCGGAATAACACGAGTTGGTCACGAATGGGTCGGTTGTTTTGGCACATCATATCCTGACTGTTACAAATACGAATATGAAGACAATGTTTCATATATACTGCTTAGAAAAACAAAAAGGAAAATGTCTATCAATAGTACCTTTGGGCTCACTGCCACATTTTCAAGCAATGATTTTTTTGTTTTTTATCTCCAGTGCTGCTAGTCGGTGTCGTACATATTTTTCCCCTTTTTTCGGGTCCATAGATGCTAGGACGCTGAGCAAGAAAGGCTGAAACGATACAGTGTTTATTTCGAACATATGATATCAACAATGGCTGATACAAGTTTATTTTATACAGTAGATATACATATATATATACAAGGAACACTATGTGCCAGATCAGTACAGATAAATACCTGTCAATCCCTCCTGTATTCTGTATTTGACTTAAAGGGTTAAATGAAAAATATAGGCATTTTGGTGTGTGTGTGTGTGTGTGTGTGTGTGTGTGTCTGTGTCTGTGTCTGTGTGTGTGTGTGTGTCTGTGTCTGTGTGTCTGTGTCTGTGTCTGTGTATCTCTCTCTCTCTCTCTCTCTCTCTCTCTCTCTCTCTCTCTCTCCATGTTATCAACAGCAAATAAGGCATTCATGGCTACAGGGTAATCAACCTCTGGAATTAAATGTTCATTCAGACAATGGGTGTCCCAAATCGTTCACTATGACAATATTTACGACACGGATACACACAAAAGTAATACTATCTATTTCTCAGCATGACGTACGCTTTCCGACCCTCGTGATCACTCCCGCACCGGAACCCGCTTATCACTACAAGCCAGGGAGACACGTACGTAAGAGGAGAAGTTCACTTGTACAGCCAAATTCCACAACAATACCTACTCGAAGCGCTACATTAATATTACCCAGCTTTATTGATCTGTCTGCACTCGATTTTCATTCTCAGCCCCCTGTGATTTGTGCAACGCAATCTGCCCGTGAGGTGCGAGAAGGTTAACAGTCAAATTACTATGTAATCCAACCGGGTACCCATTCACTGCTGGGTGAGCGGAGGCATAATGCGAACAATTCCCTTGCCCATGGAGACGCCACATGTGGTTGCCTATTAAAAAAACCTTCGATATGACCATGATTAATTAAACTAGTTAGTTATTCTTAATTTAAAGAGCTGTCATACATTCACTGTCAAAATTGATCCAAATGAGGTTTCTTAATAATTTAGGAATAAATAATATCAATGAGTGAAAGAGCTACAAAAATGATAAATTCGGAAATAGTTCCCCCGTATGGAGACAAGAGCATTCATGAAATATTTATAATTATATTCAGAATTGTTTCAGCAAAGGACAGTCAGATGACCAGTAAGCATATATATATTAATGTGCAAGCACTTAACGTTGCAGCAAGACAGCGACACACAATATAACTTAGGCTACAGATAACCCTCAACCACACAGAACCATAGGGACTCACAGTGAGACTGACCTCCGCAATGAAGCCGAGAAACAATATCAGTGGCCTATATTTTTAAATATGATTTTGTTTTTTGTTTTACAAAAGCACAATCAAATATGATTTTGGATTATTAAAACTTGTCAAATGACTTATTAAAACAACTGACTGTCTCGAAAAGGGTTACGAGAACCATTCCTCTGGATACTCGTTGTGATACGAAATACTGAGTATACATATCCTCCATAGTTGAAACTATGGATACGTTCTATTGACCGATATAAATGAGTTTATCTGGATCTGAGTTTAAATATATAAGGTCTGTAATAACTGTCAAGTGATTCAGTGACTCCTCTAGCAATAAAAGAATGGCGCAGCATCCCCGCAAATGATACCGCTATTTGCTCTTCTAATCAAACAATACAAACACGATTTGGACAGCTGACAGACCCAAATGCAGACATGCAAACATGGATTTGTAGCACAGTGTTCCTTTCTTACATCCGAATAGATTGTCTATTGAATTTGATTGTTTTAGTTCGGGTTGTTTAACGCCGCACGCAGCAATATTCCAGCTACATAACTAAGAAAGTGTTATCCCAAATATAACATCGGTTATACATGACGACGGTCTGTAAATAATCGAGTCTGGACCAGACAATCCAGTGACTGGCATCACGAGCAGTCAGCGAGCCTGACCACCCGATCCCATTACTCGCCTCTTGCATAGTCGCTTTTCACGGCAAGCATGCGTTGCTGAAGACCTCTTCTGACCCGGATGTTCACGGGTACTATCAAGTTTGAATTCAGTGATTGTTCAATACAAGAAACATAAATGTCAATGTTCAACTTCGCATCAGATTAACAATGCTTTCTATCAGTGTCGTTTTCTCACTAAACGACTAATATGTTCACATTACATGTTAAAGGAGTACATCCTCAATACCAGTACGACCGGTTCTGATGAGATGAACACCAGAAAGCACCAGTATCAGCATTCCTCTTTGCGTTGTCCAGCTGTGTGGGGTGGACCATGACAATGCGGTTCTAGGGTCCAGTAAACAGGATTAACTTGTTTCTCTGCATCTGCAAGTTGAGTGGAGTTGTCCCCGGTATCGAGGCTGGGGGTCCAGTAAACATGATTGTCTTCCTTCTCTGCATCTGCGAGTTGAGTGGAGTGGTCCTTGACAGCGTGGCTGGATTTCCAGTAAACAGGATTGTCTTGCATCTCTGTCATTAAATATTTGATGAACAATGAATTGAGTTTTGTATCTAGCGTCTGAGGTTTGTATCATAACGTGTTAAAGAAACTATCATGTGTTAACATTGTGACCAACACTTCCTCGTTAAGTTACTTGCTACATCTAGCATCTTTTCTACTCTGGTATCAGGGGCGGGTGGTTAAAGCGTCACGCCGAAGATCCAGGTTCGATTCCCGACATGTGAACATTATGTGAGGCCCATGTCTGGTGTTCCCCGCCGTGATATTGTTTGATGGCCTAAAACGTTTGTTGGCCTAAAACCAAACTCACTCACTACTCTGGTATCTCGATCACGCTGGCGACAACTACTGGGACATGTTCGAGCTAACTAAATGTCAACAGACACAGGCATCCCTGCTTACCAATTTTTTCTTGTTCTTCGGCATCTTCTGATTGTGACGACGTGCTTTTGGCAGCTTGCATGGACGTCCAATAGGCCGGGTTGTCCTGCATCTCTGACAACACCAAGTAACATGTCTATACAGAAGGTGCAGATGGTGGGGAAAGATGGGCGTTTTTGTGGATTAGGCTTAATCTGCCACCACCCATCCCCTCTGAAATGAACAACGGGGTAATATTTCGATGCATTGTCCCCCGCTCAATACGGGTTATTTGCTCATGATGTCAGCCACTGGATTGTCTGGTCTAGACTCGATTATTTACAGACAGCCGTCATATAGCAGGAATATTGCTGAGGGTGGCGTTAGACAACATACAAACAAACAAAACATGTATTTTTTGTAAATAATGTAACATTGTATTACCAAGTATGTCTTCCTGTGAATCCGATCGATTTCTGAAAAGAACATGTTTGAAATACATTAAGTGCCACATGTTTAGCATATACTTGATACACGAATAACTATCACATAAGCTGAGACCGTTTTTTCTCTCGAGATAAAATATAAACAGTTTTCTTTCCTACGACACTAGCCAGGGGTCAAACTATTGTTTTTTTGCATTTTCAGAGCCTAACAGCTACCACAACCCCTGGCCCATGAAGATCCGGGGTAGAATAGGTCTTTAACAACCCATGCTTGCCGAAAAGGCGACTATGCTTGTCGTAAAAGGTGACTAACGGGATCCGGTGGTCAGGCTCGCTGATTTGGTTGATGCATGTCATCGATCCCAATTGCGCGGATCGATGCTCAATATATTAATCACTGGATTGCCTAGTCCAGATTCGATTATTTACCGAACGCCGTCATATAGCTGGAATTTTGCTGAGTGCGGCGTTAAACAACAAACCAACCAACCAACCACAACCCCTCCAAGCACTTTACATATGATTAACTCTCCTGAGTGGTGAAACGGCATGGAGGAGGCATCATGTTACATAGCAACAGTACACTAATGTCATGGAATGTTCAACATATAGTGAGGGATGTTATCAAGTTTATGACAAGAAGCTACTTACTTCTGTATTAATCGTGGTAGGTTTCCTAAAATAAGAAAAATAAATATAAAAACAAGAAACAGAAGTTCACTAGAGAGTTACAGGAAATGCCGAATTGACGTCAATAGTATTGTCTCGCATCTTTGTCACTAAACATTTTATGAATAGTGCATTGAGGTTTGTATCTAGAGTCTGAGGTTTGTATATAGGTCCTGTAAAGTAATTACTGGACTACAAGAGGTACAAGAAATGACGAGTTTTTATTTGCCTGGGACAGAATTGCTACCAAGTATCCACTGCCGGTCAGAACACCAACGTGAAACATGGAGGTCAGATGATTTAGCTGATTGACTGTCAACTACTGCCCTGCTCGATTATTTACAGGCCATCGTTAATAGGCCACGTGTCTTGAAGATGTTTCCTGCATGCTGCTTTCAGAAGTATTGCAATAATATCACACCCGGATATCTTTCACAAAATGTCCTTGTTAATAACTAAAACCTAAAAATAACAGTTACTTTTCCTTGATGTTCGGTTTCTCCACACCAGGAATATGACCAGAGATACCACAGCAAGTCCACCCAGTGCCCCAGGCAATATGATGTACCACTGTGTGTTATCCGTCTCCTCTCTGCCTGTCAGGTTAACCTGTGTGACAGATGTCATTCTCTGCTCACTGGAGCTGGGGCTGTTCACAGGTGTTGAGGGTCCCTTGGTCACTGAAGCCACTGATTCAGTAGTATACAATGTTGTTGATGGGGGTTGTGCAGTTGTTGTAGTTGTTGATGGGGATTGTGTAGTTGATGTTGTTGATGGAGGTTCTATAGTTGTTGTGGTTGACGTTGAACTAGAAACTGCGGTCGAAGACTATGGTCAGTATATGTTTATTTGTTTGAAGAAGGGTAGAAGATGAGAAGGGGAAAAAATATGGTGACAGAACGCAATAAACAAGGTAGATAGTGTGTGGCAGTAAGAGTCATAAGTAACATTTGTTCAAGACTTGTTAATATTCTTTACAGTTAAATAACAATTGATGACCTATTGGACAATCACTTACATACACATTTACATGTACACGCACACACTCACACACAGACATATATACATACACAAACACTCGCACACACAAACACACTCACTCACACACATACATAAACACACACACACACACACACACATACATACATACATACATACATACATACATACATACATACATACACACAGACATACACCCACACACACATACATACATGCACACACACACGCATGCATGCATGCACGCACGCACGCACGCATGTACGCTCGCTCGAACATGCCTCACATGGATAATACCTGCTTGTACTGTCAATGTAGTGCTTTTGTGATCTCCAGACTGAGACTGACACGTCCATTCTTTTGAATCTCCCTGGAGAACACCCCGTATTACAATGGTCGACGATGTTCGGTTGCATTCAAAATGCGTATGTCCGCCTTTGTCAACAAATTGTCCCTGTGTGACGTTGCATTCGTTTTTTTCATCATTGAAGCTTGTTTTAGCAAGGACACCACCCCTGTACCAAGTCACTGCCATGAGATTGCTCCCTTTTCCAGAGTAACAGGTGAGGGTGACGTCTGTCCCCTCTCTGACGACTAGTGTGCGTTGGCTGGTTGGCTCCATCAATACTGCAGTATAATGCAATGTATAATAAGTGTACCAGGTTTATTGGCATCAGAACATACCTTATATCAGTTAAAAGAATACATATTAATAACATGTCAAACTTAATGCACATCTTCTCAAAGCTCATCAACTTTTAGTTAATCTCCATATGAGGTTGGTTGGATGGTTGGTTTATTGTTTTACGCCGCACTCAGCATTATCCATATGAGGTCAACGTCACAAGAAATCAAATTTTGTAACATATTTCACACTTCACGAAATGTGGGATCAATTCATTACAAATCTAAGCATTTTTCAATGACTTGTGATGGACTTTTAATAATTAACTCAATACCTGCTCTATGTCATAGTTGTGTTGGACATTTACTCATGACATGACTTAAGGAAGCTTAATTCATCATTTTCGTTTAGCCTTATTTTTAGATGTCCTTTTTATACATATGCTCTGTATAACATGGTAAATACTTCACCGCAGAATCCAAAAAGGTATGAAGTGTGTTCGTGATGTATTTTTAGTTTTAGAAACGTAATGGGTCTTATCTCCTCTATAGTCCACAGTCATATAACCTGCCGTTTCCAGTAACACTGTGAAATGAATAATCCAGTTATGTGCGGCGATGCAAATCTTAAAACTGAGAATTAGTTTCAAGGTTATTCTACCTACCCCTTTTTCATAGTTCCCTTTTCGAGTGTTGAAACCGTGGATACCGAAAAGCAGCAGTTACTTACGTGATTCGGAGTCGCCCTTTTTATTTACAAATTGACGTGTATATCACGTGATTTTGATACGCGTTCTGATAGGTTGCATATGTACAACTTGTCACATGAAAATAGAACATGTCCTGTTTCATACAATTCACGTCCAACAAGTCGCATACGTGAAAGGGTGGTCTGACGTGCACGGCCACAGGATGGAACTAGTTGTACCGTGTGAATGCCCTTTAACGCCGCAGTTCTAAAATATGTTGTCCAGGAATTCACGTGAGCTCCAAGGCAAATATCCTCCTATAAATTCAGTCATGATCATGAAATCTTCAAGCCACAAATAACGGTTACGTGGCTTTCGGGGAAATGTATGCAATGGGAAGTATTTCCGATGTTATTACCTTCTTCCTGTAGCTTGAACGCATAGTTCTCATTATTACGACTGTTTTTATTATTTACAAGATAAGTATGATCGACGGTTATTCAAAACTCCGGATTCTGGCTCATTGTTGTAGGACAAAGAATAACTTGTCAATTGCCGCTCACTGTTAGGATGAGTCGTGATTTAGTTTAACACAATGAGTTAACACCCATAAACTGCCCTTTGTGAACATGTCTCTAGGGATGTGATAATTTAGTACTGCCCGCACGTTTGTGTTACATGCACCCGAAACACTAGTGTCAAAACGTGTGGTGTCACCCTGGGCAAGTGACTTAGTTTAAATGTGTCTCTGTTTACCCACCAGCAGAATGGGTACCCGATATGCAAGGTGGGTGCGACTATTAATATTTTAACCGATCCTACAATAGCCAATACCTACACAGGAGAACCTTCATACCAAGGAGCACATTGTTACTGATAGCGAGGCACTGGGGATAGTCAACATTGGCCACACAAGAAACCTATGGTCGTGGGTCAAAATCCCGGCTCGCCCCGATTATGTTTCTATGTTTACAAGCACCATACCCGTGCTCGTGGGTTTCACCGAAGTGGTAACGTCTGAGACCTGCATCACTTCCGGCTTTCCTCCAACAGTAAGCTGACACAGCCGTGATATAACTGGAATACTTTTCAAGGCTTTAAACTCATCTCACTCACTCTTAACAGTTGTAGTTGCAATACTGTGGGATGGAAGCCAGCTTAAAATACACACAGGATATGTTCTGACTGTCTGTCGACTGTACCGTTCAGATAAGGTTTTCTAAAAAAAAGGTGCTCTTGTAAATTTCTTGAACAAAAGCCGTATTCTTTGAAACTGTATCTATATCTCTAACAATCAACTGGTTTCTTATACATTCCAGAACTATTTCAAATGTCGGGCTTCGTATAATTGCTATATCAACAATACCTGCCTGTGCTGGAGCCACAGACTGAGTGAGCAATACAACGACAGCGACAATGTGACACACAAGGCATGACCGGAATATTTGAAACGTGACATCTCTATAACAACTAAGCTTTACGAAAACCAATCTACTTACGCTCATCTCCAGCCACTATGCCATGAAATACGCTGAGAAGGACCAAGTGAAACCAGTTCTCCCGAAGACTCATGATGCTTCAACATCTAAACTACCCGTCACGATATATACGCAATGTCACATGTGTCTTATTTGTATGTTTGCAATGTTACAACATCCTTGTGCTACTAGTGCCCTCTATGTACCTTCCGCGTCATGTGTGAGAACGAAACTTATGACTAATAAATACACGTTTTAGAAGAAATATATTTTGAGGTTTAATTTTCATAAATTTTGTTGTGATTAAACTGAGTAATCTGTCAATAAGGGCTTTTCTGAGTTTTCGTCACCGCAAATCTAAGTTCTTTATCATCAGGGCCATCCGATGATGGTAGGCCCTGTCCCCGGATTTAAATACCAGGTCAATCCCTCCTGTATTCTGTATTTGACTTAAAGGGTTAAATGAAAAATATAGGCATTTTGCTGTGTGTGTGTGTGTGTGTGTGTGTGTGTGTGTGTGTGTGTGTGTGTGTGTGTGTGTGTGTGTGTGTGTGTGTGTGTGTGTAAGTGGGTGTCTGTCACTGCTCTCTCTGTTTGTGTCTCTCTGTCTCTCTCTCTCTGTCTCTTTCTCTCTCTCTGTCTCTCTCTGTCTCTCTCTGTCTCTCTCTCTCTCTTTGGGAACATAAGGGATTGGTCTTTTAACTTTTTTAAGCCGAGTCCATTATACGATTCCGATGAAGCCATGCGCATGTATATATGAATCACAATTCAAATATTGATTATACAAGGAGTTAAAATAAAAAATAATATACAAATTAACAAAATCCAGAGAATTCACCCAATGTTAATAGCATTCCATCGGAACATCAACTCATAATAAAAATTACTTACATCTCGGAACAGTCCCATATTACCTTAAATTGAGTACTACTCTCGTGTCGAATAGCGTGGAGTTTAATTTCCCTGTATGGGCTCCGGGCCTTGATGTATAATCCCCCATCTAAGGCAAGGGCACAAGGTCTTGGAGTTTAATCTCCCTCTAAGGGCACCAGGCCGTGATGTATGATCTCCCTCTAAGGGCACCAGACCGTGGAGTTTAATCTCCTCCTAAGGGCACCAGACCGTGGAGTTTAATCTCCTCCTAAGGGCACCAGGCCGTGGAGTTTAATCTCCCTCTAAGGGCACCAGGCCGTCGAGCTTAATCTCCCTCTAAGGGCACGAGGACGTGGAGTTTAATCTCCCTGTAAAGGTACCAGGCCATGGTGTATAATTTCCCTCTAAAGGCACAGCCAGTTGAGTTTAATCTCCCTCTACGGGCACCAGGCCGTGATGTATAATCTCCCTCTAAAGGCACCAGGCCGTGGAGCTTATTCTCCCTGTAAAGGTACCAGGACGTGGAGTTTAATCTCCCTGTAAAGGTACCAGGCCCAGGTGTATAAGCTCCCTTTACGGGCACCAGGCCGTGATGTATAATCTCTCTCTTAAGGCACCAGATATTTTTATGCACTTTATTTAGGTGTTTTCTATGGATGCCATTTGTCTGATGCACCTATTTGGAGCAATTGTATTCTGTTTCGAACTCAAATGAAACTAGACTGTCCAGATATAAAAAGTACTGATACCGTTCCGAAACAATCTTTGAATCTCACCAGGATCAAATGCCAAAGCACATAGTGACTTTCCATTTTCTTCTGAGTGAGTGAGTGAGTTAAAATTTACCGTCACATCGGCAATATTTCAGCCATATCGTGACGAGAGCATTAATAATATTTATAATATCTAAATTTAGATTAATAAGAACCTGTCATCAACGGACAGTATAATAACTAGACTATCACAGTTTAGAAGTAAAACTAGTTGAGAACAAGTAAAAGATTAACCTATTATTGGACAATACATTATAAAAACGGGCTATAGATCGCCAGCAACCAAAGTTAGGCCACCATACTAGAGACCGTGGGGACTTACGATACCTCTGCTACCTACACGGTTCCCCAACAGGATTTACACCATCCCTTCAGTT